CTTGGTTTTGAAAATTTGAAGGATTTATATGCGGAAGATGATGATTTTAAACAGATTTGGACAGGTCCGATCTCGCCACCCATGTCCAAATTAGACGGCTATCTTTTCTATAATCATCGCCTATGTATCCCACGCACTTCATTGCGCGAGCAACTTATCAAGGAATTACATGGTGGTAGTTTAGGTGGTCATTTCGGGAGAGATAAAACTTTGTATCTAGTTGAAGAGCGTTATTATTGGCCACATCTCAAGAAAGATGTAGGGCGTTTTGTTGCTAAATCTCTTGTTTGTCAAACCGCCAAAGGGCAATCTCAAAATACAGGGTTATACATGCCTTTGCCCGTCCCGGACAGTCCATGGGAAGACATTTCCATGGATTTTGTGCTCGGACTGCCTCGTACAGCTCGTGGGAACGACTCGGTGTTTGTTGTGGTTGATCGATTTTCTAAAATGGCACATTTTATTCCATGTAAGAAAACCGCTGATGCTTCCAATATTGCTTCATTGTTCGTTCTTTCGAGAAATTGTACGCTTGCATGGGGTGCCTTCTACCATTACTTCTGATCGCGATACCAAGTTCCTTAGTCACTTTTGGCTTACACTTTGGCGTCTGTTTCAAACTACATTGCAATATAGTACTTCTTTCCACCCTCAAACCGATGGACAAACTGAGGTGGTTAATAAAACACTTGGTAATTTGATTTGTTGTCTCTGTGGTGATCGCCCCAAACAATGGGATCAGTTCTTAGCTCCAGCTGAGTTTGCCTTCAACAACATGGTCAACCGTTCCACCGGAAAGTCTCCATTTCAGGTGGTTTATCAATGCCAGCCTAAGCATGCTTTAGATTTGGTTCCTATGCCTGAACTCCCTGGTCATAACTTGGCTGCTGAGAATCTCGCGACAAATGTAGAAGCTGTTCAGACTGAAGTTAAACAAAGGCTTGCCGCTTCTAACGCAAAGTATAAAGAAGCACGAGATAAACATCGAAGAGAAAAGGTTTTTGAGGTTGGGGATCTAGTTATGGTCCATTTACGCAAGGAGCGTTTTGCAGTAGGGACATACAACAAGCTCAAGATGAAGCGGGTTGGGCCATGCAAGGTACTTCGCCAAATTAATAACAATGCTTATGTCATTGACCTTCCCGAATCCTATTCTATTTCTTCTACATTCAATGTGGCCGATTTGACCGAGTTCAGACCCGATGATCCATTATATCCTGATGCTCACTCGAGGACGAGTTCTTTTTCAATTAGGGGAGAATGATGTGGTATTATTTACTGAAATACCCTTTTGGCCAGATTGTGCTCCAGGATGAGTGAAACCCAAGTTTTACTATTTTATTTGTTTTAGTCTTTATCCTATTGTACGAAAGTCTTTTAGTCAAATTAGGATTCTGTTAGGATTAGTATGGATAGTCTTTTAAATACATTGTCAATTGCGTGAACATAACATTTATTATTTTTGATTATTACTTCTTTATTTGATTTTCGTTCTTGATTAAATCAAAGAAAGAGTCGAGATACGTTTTTCTCATATTTTGTTTGGTTTTCATGCGATTGACAATTTCGCTACTAATTGTCTACCTGTAGCTATTTTTGGCTACATCATATACAAAGGAATGAAATAATCATTTCCATTTTATCATCTTCTCATGACCGACACTTCATATCTAGATCACTTATTCCCAGAACTTTTAACTCGAATGTCCATACTATATATGGTAAGTTCTTTCTATTTGTTTTTTCTTCTAATATAGCGACGACATACGTATTTTATTTTTATTAATTTATTTTTGATAATTGTTTGTGGGCTCTACTATCTCAATTTTTATTACAATCTGTCAATTTTGATTTACCTTTCCCTCCCTTATGAGTATAATAACTGCGCGCAAGAAATCCCTCCAACGATTAAAAAAAAAACCGGTTGAAGCCGTGTCTTCACTTCGATTTTAATTTAACTATTGAACCCAAAAATAGATGAAGAGTATTATAAGCATAATAAGATGCATACAAACCAAAATTAAATATTGATACATCCAAACCAACAAAATATAGATATAATTTACATAATATCCTCCATCTCAGAAATTCAAAAGCATATGATGATTCCAAGACATCTAAGCCTTGCTTTATTTTTGCTTCGAATATATTACACACTTCATTGGTAATAAACCTTATCTTCACTATGCACCCTTAACCTTTGTATGCTGTGAGACTTGGTCTCGGCTCAAACTCTTCATCAAATGTCTTCTTACCTTTAATACTTGCACTGTTATCATATACGGAGACATTTGGCCTTGGCTCAAACTCTTCATCAAACATCTTCTTACCTTTTACACTTGCTCCGTTTTCATAAATCGAAAGGTTTGGTCTTGGCTCAAAATCATCGGGAAATATCTTCTTATCTTTTAAACCAACACTATTATCATACACTGAGATATAATTAGGCCTTGGTTCGAAGTCCTCATTGGAGGACTTTCTTTGGTGGCAGTGACTTCTCTTTGTGGGATCGGATGACACCAAAGAACCTCCTCGAACATGCGAGTCTTGTTGATATTCTTCAGGATTTGGCCTAGCAAAGACAGTAACCGTGATCTGCTAAACAATATTTGAAAAACTATATATTAGTTAGCATAACGAAACTAATTAAAAAAAATACGGTCATTGTAATGTTGCACCATAGATTTATAACATCAGACAATAAAAAATTCTCTACCGTGATGAGAAAAAAGAGAGCCAAGAAAGAAAGACGTGACTCCATGTTCGAAACACAAATGTCTCTTGGAGCTGTTGGTAATTGCAATGAATGATCATAGTTCGTATTTATATAGTTTAATTGAGAAGCTTACCATCCAAAGAAACATACAACCTAAAATTGTCTTCCTTTAATAATATAATATTTATTCAACTTATTTTATAATATTCATAGGATTTCTGATAAGGTATACAACCGAGGTTATATTTTACAAAATCATATTCATTACACAATATATTAACAAAATTAATTTACAATTTACAAAAAAAATATTAATAAAATTTTGGGATGGCCTCTGGTTTAGAAAAAATAAAATAACAGTTTAGAATTTTAAATGTTTATTAGTTATTATTTTATGTTACTTGAGATTTATTTATGATTTTAATTGAAAAGCAAACATTGTTACTAGACTAAATAATAAATAAATTGCTATTAGTAGCATACGTAAATATTACTTTTTGAAACTTATTTAGTTATATATTAACTAGTATAAACAGTCCCTTGCTTTGCAACGGGTCAGTTTTATTTATTTATTTATTTATTTTTATGATTGTGTTTGACATTGGCAAGTTAAATAACATACATATACTTCAGTAGGTAACGCAAGAAATGCATTTTGTAAAAGAGTCAAGCATACAACTACCAAAAAAATTACTTGCAAAGTAGATTGCTATTTTGTTGTATTTAAACTTAAAAAATCTGACATATCCCTTGTTTGTACAATTCTTCAAGCGCTCTTCAAATTGTTTTTATCAAGTTAGTGTGTTTGGGTTTGTTCTTGTACGATATTTGTTATTATTAGTCTCTCAAAGTTAGCAGTTTTTTAATTCCGGTGATACATCTAAACATACAAATTTATTAGTGGCTGGCCCTTTTTTTTCTTATTAGTGTCTCAAATTTATTTCCGTTTCCAAGATTTTTCCCCAAATAAACATACAAATGATGGAATACAAAAAATAAAATCACCCATTTTTGATGCATCACGACAAGTAATGAGGCCTATACCGATGACATTTTTAGCGGTTGTGCAGACGACCTGTCGTCTGTAAAGCCTATACAAACGACTTGTCGTCGATAAAAAGTCGTCTGGACAGCCGTCGGTAAAAGTGGAAAATGTCGTCGTTACAGAGTCACCAATGCAGACGACATGTCCTCGTCAAAGGGTCGTTGGGACTGATTTTCGCGAAAAAAAAGTTTTAATATATACCTATTCAGAAGACATGTCGTCGGTATAAAGGTCACTTTACCGACGACATGTCGTTTGGACAGGTTTAAGCAATACAGACGACATGTCGTCTGTAAAAGCGGGTGGCAAACAACTTCCATTTTAGTATTAGAGACGACATGTCGTCTGGAAAAGTGAAACGGTTATTACGGTACTATACCGACGACATGTCGTCTGTATAACTTTGTTTTTTAAAAATTTTCACAGGTTTTTTATATATAGCAAACCTGTTTTTAAAACAAATCCAAACAGTATATATGCAGAATAATATCAAATACTTAATAACAATAACAAACCATTAAAACTCCAAGAAAAATCTACTACATAGCAAAATAACAAAAAAAAAGTCTTCAACAAACAATGTTAAAAAAAACATAAAAGATCAATCATAATCTTCATTGTTCTCGTTCTCATAGTCGTCGTCATCGTTCTCATTGTCCTCGTTCTCCTCCTACTCGAGCTCGTTGGTTGGTGTATTGGAATTGCATTGGAATTGTGGTTGAAAGTTAGGAGTGAGGACGCGAATGTTTTATTATACATTTGTTGCATATGTAGCATTTGTTGTTGAATGCATTGCATTTGTTAGGTTAATGCAACAACTTGGGAATTATCCGAAGATTGGGATGTGGAAGCTTTGGAACGCTTGATATGTTCATTTGGAAATAAATTATTATTGATGCTTAATTTCCTTCCAACGCTGTGAATATGTTCACGTCTCTCATCGAGGGCACGAGTGTGACAATGTTCTTCGTTTAACTTTTCGTTCTCCGTAAGCCCTTCGTGCATCAACATCTTCTCTCGTTGAATATTTTTTTCCTAAAATAAAGAAAACAATAAACATACATTAATTAAAACAAATAACTAAATTTATATACTAAAATAATAATAATAATAATAATAATAATAATAATAATAATAATAATAATAATAATAATAACATATTTATCAAATAACGTATTAACTTTGTTTATTACTTACCCAAGTTACCTCCGCTTGCGGTGAACACCAACCCCGAGTTTCTTTAAATTGCATTTTTCTCCAACCATCCATATGTTGCGGGTCTTGTCATTTTGCTCTCTATGATAAGCCAAAAACAATTAAAATATTTATATAAGTGTTAATAAAAATTTTATATAATACAAATAAATTTAATTACCTCCTCGCAACGTCTATATGGATATAATCTACTTCCATGAGCACTCGTATATGGAAGTTTGGACCTATTTTTTTACCTTTATCGCACTGCTTCCTATAACCCGCATACAAAAAAAAGATCAATCATCTTATCCCAAGCTTCGTTGTCCATATCATCCGGTGGACATTGTCTTGCACCTTGCACATCATTATATCCACCAACCCTATCAAAATAAATTTTCACTTGATGTTTGTGCGCTTTATAAGCTCTTTGGCAGTCACTCTGTACAGCCGCTCGAACGGCTTCCTACATATATGTACCCCGATACTTATCAAGATCAAAAAACGTCTGCAATAAAAAAACAAATTTCATTAGTAAAAAAATATTTAAGAAGTATAAAATTTTTCACATATAAAAAGTATTTTGTATTTACTTCAATCTCAGGATACATAGTTTCATAGTAATGGAAATGAACACGTCTCCAAGTCCTATAATGAAGTGGTACATGATCTGCCACAAAATTTGAGATAAACATTATCAATATTTTTCCATTTGTATTTATGAATTTATAGGTCCCCCCATCGCTATCAACTTCCATAGGTAAAGGTTTTTCACCACCGCCATTGAACTTTTTCACATATTTAAGCATCCCCCTTTTCCACGCCGACGCATCGAGTTTGCTACATTGACACATAGAATTGAAAATTCAGAAATTTAAAACTTTAAAAATATATCCAATATAATTAAGAATTTCATGTAACTTACACGATTGACAACCCCCGTTATCTTGCCTGTGCGCTCATGTGGAGGCCGGTCCCCACCGTCTCCTTTATGCCCCCTTGTAACATGTGTAGCCATCTGTTTAAAAAAATACCATTTAATTTGATTTTATAATTGATTTAATTTGATTTTATAATTAATTTAATTTGATTTTAAAAGTTAACTTAATTTGAATTTATGAATAATTTAATATTTTCTTTTTTGTTATTAATTTGTTTTAAATTAATTTAATTTGATTTTATAATTAATTTGATTTTTTTAATATTAATATTAATTTGATTTTATAATTACTTTAATTTGATTTTATAATTACTTTAATTTGATTTTAAAATTAACTTAATTTGATTTTATAATTAACTTAATATTTTCTTTTTTTGTTATTATTTTAATTTTTAAAATTAATTTATTTTGATTTTACTATTAATTTGATTTAATTTTGTCACACCCCCAAACTAGACGGCGGAACGTCCGGGGGTGGAGGACTTCATTTGTAGTATCACAACACATGTATCATAGCAATCAAAGTACAAACAACCATTGATTTAAAAAGT